TTGATGCTGTCTGTAACTGACCAGTCAGCGCTGGGTCATTCTCGCTTTGTTGACGCTATCAATAACAGCAAAAAATTTGGCACACCCACCACCACCCCAGCTTTTCCTAACTGGCATTTATATGTTTTAAATTGATATACAGTTTACATTTGACATATTGGCATATTTATTTTTGTAGTGCCATCTTTTTGCTGTATACCTACTGTTTTTATATTTTTTGCAAATATTGTTTATCTGTAAATTTAGGGGATCAGTATATTAATATGTATTTGTGCGATTACCTTTTGTTCTGATCCCCTATCATGTGATGTATATATTTTTTCTTATTTCGTCATTTTAATAAATGACATATTTCATCATATTTATTTTTGTAGTGCCATCTTTTTACCGTATACCTACTGTTTTTTTATATCTTTTTTGCAAATATTGTTCATCTGTAAATTTAGGGGATCATAATAGATATTGATATGTATTTGTGCGATTACCTTTTGATCTGATCCCCTATCATGTTATGTATATATTTTTTCTTATTTCGTCATTTTAATAAATGACATATTTCATCTCAAAAATGGTGTTGATTTTATTTGAATTTATCACAGCAAAAACAGAGCTGCGGTAAGATTGTGCAGCATGAGGAAACATAAATACTTTTTTTGATTTTATAAAGTATGTGGAGATAACAAACAGTATTCGAGCTGTAAAGTCATTTAACATTACATAATAGGGATATACTGTAGAAAACAAGGACCACGAAAACATCAGATGTGGGATCAGATGTCAATGAGAAGCAAGGGTCCCTATCAGTAACAATAAGAACTCATTAGTGTTTTAGTACGGGTTGATATTCTTTATGCAATCCCATCGGTGTAATTTTTTATGCCTCGTCTTTACAAATGCAATATTTACTCTTTTACTTGTTTGCTAAATTTTACCCACAGCTTCCGTTACAAAGGGAAAATACTTCAAAATCATGTTACAGTTTCAAATACTTACATGTAACATTCACTACACTCAAATTTCTTTTTGAATTAAATACCTCTTCTGAATTTCTTAACAACTACTTAAAAAAGAAAAAAAAATGAATTTTGTAAATTTACTTATCTTCTAATTGTGGTCAATTGCAACATTTATTTAAAAAAAAATAAACAAAACAAAAATTCTGATTGTAATTCCAAGTATGCTGAAGGTGATATTAAAAAGATGCAGATGCTAGAGTACAATCTATGTACTTTTTGGAGAAAAGGCCTTGGTATATGTATTATGAAATAGATTTAAACTTAAGTCTGATTTTCAATCAGCTCTCAAATGTTAATTTATTATTTATCAGTCTCTAAATTTGCAGTTAACCACTCGCTTGCAATATTGAAAAATGTTTTAATTTGTGTGTACCTGACTTCGACAATATTTTAAACTGAAACTTAAGTAAACTTTTAATTGTGCAAGATAATTATTTATTATTTATTGAATTAATCTCTAATTTTACAGATAGCAACACTTTTGTAGAGTAGTATTGAAAAATAATTTGATTTTGGACTGTTTGACTTCTAGAACATTTTTGCACAACAGAAGGATTTTGACCTAAGCTTAAGATGCTTCATAATCTCGGTGCCAGGTTGAGCAACCTCTTATGAAGCAGATTCTTACTATCTAAGTGTAACAGAGAAAAAAGCCTTAATTAAGGAATGTGATTAACACAAATAGATCCCTTTTCAATATGATATGCATTAAAACAGCTGTTAATGCCATTGAAAGTCGTATGAACTGGATGGATTAGGTACTTACCTAACTCCAACGAATCTCATTAAAATAAATGTATTCGGTACATGTAGATGGGGATGACGACAATGTCGAACGACATAAAACTATTTAATGTCAGCACCGGTCGTTCATATTAAGAATTTTTTTAATTTTGAAATTATCTTGTAAACCATCAACGTATCAAGATAATACTTAAATTCAGCATTTCTGAAAATTTGTTGTTGTATGATCTTCATAAACTTTGTTTTAAAAAAAAACGACACATTATTAATGACATCTCATCAGTCAACGAATTTTCGGTAACCCCTTGCATTCGTCTAACAACAAAGTTTTTAGATATACGTACTCTTTTGAGAAAAAGAGACAAGATATGACAAATAATTGATGAAAAAAAAAATGCTAAGAAAAATGTCTAAAAGAAGTCTTTGGTCTATACATCTACAATGACATTGTAAGTAAATGGTCAAAGGAATTGCTAGGACAAATTGTTTAGTTGAGGCTTTAAGGCTTAATTAATGCTTACCCATATTTTTGTTTAACTTTTAAAAGTTTTGAATGCTTCTTATTGATTACATTAAAAATAGTGCAAAACTATTTTAACATAACAATTACAGGTACAAAACATAAGGGGGGGGGGGGGGGGGGGGGTGTCATATAGTAATAAAATACTTAAATTTTCAACCGTTTTATTGCACGGTTGCTAAGATGCTTTCGTAATTGTTGAAGGGAAAGCGACCCTCTGATAAGACAAATAACTTTCAAATTACAAAATAGTAATACTACTCACAGTTTTTTTAATCAGTTTCCTGAGACCTCTGAGTAGTCAATTTGATGAGATCAAACATAGTATGGAAACATTACTTTCTATTTCTTTTGCAAATTTCTTAGTAATTGTTTTATTATATTTAACAATAAAACATTTAAATCCATTTAAATGAGGGTTGTGTTATGCTGTTTTTTTTTTTTAAATATTTTCCGGATGTTCTACTGCGTATTCTCTAAATTCGTACTTTGGCCAATTCGTACTGAATTCATATTTATCATTAAATGTGTAAAATTTCTATATTTACCATACATGTTAGTTATAATAGTTAGTAATAATATACGGTAGTGCGACTTTATCAAGTCCGACCTCATGGTCCGACAGTGTTATAGTCCGACACTATCATAGTCCAAATTATCTATCAGCGTAAAATAGGATTGGCCTGCTCAGCGAAGATCCGACGTTGAATCGATGTTGGCAATTCAACTCAACTCAATGTTGATTCAACGTTAAATTTTCAACGTTGAAAAGTTAACGTTGAATCAATATTGTATCTAGATTTATCAACGTCTAAACCCAACTTCAACTAATATTCAACGTTTAAACAACGTTGTGTGCCTGCTGGGTAAATTTCGAGTAGTAGGACACATCAAGTGTTTTTTTTTTCTTTTCACGTATAAGAATTTGAACATATTTTGCTTCATATAAATTCGAAACAGGTACGTAGCATCGTCTTTGAAAGTGGGGGGAGGGGGGCAACCTGAGAAATTTTTTTTTTTTACTTACCTTCAAAAAAAGTTGACAAGCAAAAAGAAAAAAGAAAAAAAAACGGAAAATTAAAAATTGCCCAAACTCGAAAATCCTATTTCGTGAGGGAGGGGGGGGGGTGTGATTGGCCAACTTTTTTCAAGGCCAACTTCCTTTCACTTCCATTTTTTTCCTATATTTCCTTGCTATAATTATGCTGTGCTAAAAAGTTGAGGGCCAACCATCTTTTCAATGGACTTTTTCTACAGTAAAGTTAATATCAGGAAAAAAAGTGGGGGGCCAGCCCCCTCCCCCCTGTTGCTACGTGCCTGCCAAAAATACTGTACATGTACATAGTTTTAAATTAGCTTATTCAAAATCTATCTCAATCAATAGTTATAGGTTTGTAGCTCTAATCATGAATTAGAGCTACACATGTCTGTGCCGTATAATCTACTTATAAATTATTTCTTACCGCGGTATTCATGAATCAGCGCATCATTAATCATTGTCTGCGCCAAAACCGCTAAAATATGAAGCCCACTATTTTAAGTACACATACCGGTACAGTACGTTTGCTAATAATGGGGCGCAACTGGTACAAGACACACTTGGATAAAGATGAGCAAATTTTGGAAGGCGCACATAATCAAGTCAAACGAGATTTGATGGATGTTCACATAGTTTATTGTAAATACATGACCATGGTAGAGAATTTTCCTACTTTTTTATAATTTGCAGTTGTTCCAAAAACTTAAAGGAAAAATCTATCATTTAGTCCAATGCAGACAGAGATTTTTCATATAAATTCTTAGGCCAATCTTTACACACTAAATTGTCGACTAATTTTTCCAATTATTTCCCAATCATAACAAGGAGTACGCGATGGGTGTGACCGTTTGGCAGGGGATACTCACTCCTTTTGGCACCTGATCCAAGCTTTGATGTTTAAAGGTCCATGTTTGCTCTTTTGTAATGTGTAATGAACTCTTGAGCTTGAATGCTGTTCATCATTTCAACATATTTCATCGATAACTGTCATTTTAAATATTAAAGTTTGAATAAAACATATTATCAATCTGATAGGTAGTTTTTGGACATTTTGGACAAAAGCATTAATTAAAATAATATACAAACAATAAATTGTAAAAAAAAAAAAAATTATTAAAAAACAGTCGAATTAAAAGTTGATACATTCATTCTCTTATTTGACAATTATCAAGAGATTTTAAGAAATGTTGAATCATCAATTTGACCGTTTAAACGCAAGTTTAATGAACATAATTATGGCTAGCATATTTTTTGATTAAACATTTCCGATCAATTCGACAATATTAATATCATATGAATATCAATTGAACAGTTAACAATTTCTTCACTCCAACGTTTCCTACATTCAATCCTGATATTCATGCAGACATGGATGCATGGTGGCATCCATAGAAGTTTAAACGGTACAAATAGCCTAATACATGTCAACACTAGTACTTTAAAAATGTATTACTACTCTAAAATCAATGCTGTAGAGACACGAACAGGAACAGGGAAGAAGAAATAATGATAAGCAAGAAAAGGTAACAGGAAGTAATAGTAAGTGTCAAAATATAAAAATAAAACCGTCTTTTTTGTTTGTTTTAATTCCCGCATAATAGACGAACTATAGCTGGAGAGGTTTATTCTTTTATAACACATTGTTGCCATATATACATACATTATGAGGAAACATTAAAAACACGGAAGTACAATTGTTTTAAAAAAAAGAATAAATAAAACTAGATAAAAACATGGATATTTTCAAATGGCGTGAGTTTCTCTCTCTCTCTCTCTCTCTCTCTCTCTCTCTCTCTCTCTCTCTCTCTCTCTCTCTCTCCTCTCCTGTAATCATACGAAACATGATTTTTTTTAATCCCATCACATGTCTTAGTACGAGCGTTAGTGCCAGGATTGGGGCCCTTGGTTCACAAAGCTTACAATATGACAAAATAAATATACTGCTTATTATATGAAAGGGCCTTTTTTAAACACATTCACTAAACATATCATGCATATGTTTATATAAGAAGCTAATAAAAGATATGTTAATATTGTCATCATTGAAAAATACACATCTGAAACTGCAATTCTGTTGTAAATAGCATTTATATAACTTAATATACATACCTAATTTTCGTATTAAATTATTTTCACATTCCATCGCTTTTTGAAAAATCTCAATTTTTAAAAAAAATATATTTCTAACAGTTATGGTATTTCTTGTTTGTCCCTCTCAAAAGATAATACAGTTTTCTTTAGTTTGCTTCAATAGATATTCTTTTTTTTATTATATTTACATTTTCAATTGAATACATGTGTGTAATTACAATGTATATTAGTAATATTTTCCAAAAGAAAATCAACTTTATATAGAGTTGTGTCAAGTCCAAACTGTTCTAAAATCCAATTCAATACATTTTCCAAATTTCTGCAACAAACTCACATTTCCAAAAAAGTGGCTAAGTGTCTCTTGATGGGTTTTAAAAAACTACATAAGTGCGAGTCAGTAGCACCAATTTTGTATAGAAATGTATTTGTGGCAAAAATACTATATTGGAACCGTCTTAGCTATGTATTATTTGTTACATAAATAAAAAAAAAACAAAATGTATTTTTTTCAAGCAAAAATCATCAACATTTAAATCAAAAATGTTCTCCCAATTAATTTCCCTTTTTTTTTTCTTTTTTTTTTGTTTTGTTTTTTTTTTTTGTTTTGTTTTTGTTTATTTGTTTTTTTTTTTTTTTTTTTTTTTTTTTTTTTTTGTATTTCTGACGAATTCTAAGAATATCGTACAAATCTATTGCACATTGTTTGCTTTTTATAATTACTTGAAATAATTTTTGGGGGAAAGCTGGTTTCTTTAAATTGCCTTATGATCATAATTCAACTGTAATTTTTTCTTATATTACTCAATAGTTTTCTAAGAACAGAGTGAAGGGAATTTTTAAAATACAATTTTAAAAATTCTTGGTAACCCAACAAAGTTCCATTTGTATCATAGAAATCAAAAATAAATTGTGTGCCTTTTCTCCACCATGACTTATAACAAATACTTTTTTGTTTATACACATAGATTAGTTATACCAAAAAGGACATAAAACAGACACTTGATCATTTATACTTACATGTAACCTCATCTAACAATTTTGAAAAAAAAACATCTTCCGAAAAACCTTTTTTACATCTTTTTTTAGTTTATCTACATATTTGTTTTTAGAAAATGTATTCTAGATCTACTGCTACACGATTTTCATATTCTTTTTATATTTCAAGTGTGCTTTGTCCATGTCACCCTTCATTACGTTCGATCAGGTAGCATACAAAGGTTTGTAAATATTCTAACTGTATTTTTACGTCTTTCTATGTTCTATGAAATTTATAAACTAACTATGGATCACTTTGAACTTCGTACATGTATTTAAAAATAATTTATTTTTTAAAGGAAACATAGTGAGGTTTATTTCTGCTCCCTAATTTGAGAAAAATAATATCAAAATGCAGGAAAAGATAGTCAATATGCAAGATATTTATATGTACAGTGGTGCCTCGCTAATCCGGATGCCAAAGAAATCGTTTGGATAAAGGAATCCTCCAGATGAATGAATCGTCCGGATAAGTGAATTCCTCTCAAATCATGTTTATATCCACAAATGGGTTATCAAATAAGAAGGCAATGAAAAATCTTTTGTTTAAGTTACCTTGATTTATTTATTTCATATCATCTTTATCGTTTTAAAAGAAATAATTTACATTCAAAACAGGAAAATAAATTAAAATGTAATTTATAGGATGAAAAATTGATAGGGAATTTTATGCTGAGACTCTCTTTTTTAAACACAGGAACTTTGCCTTATATTTGACTTGTGGTAATGAGGGCTGACTAAATTTTAATCAGGAACACGATCAAAATCAGATTCTTTGTTAAGATTGGGTACTTGCATGTAGGCATATTTATCTTGAATTTAGGCATAATTATGTTCCATATTAAATTTTATCGAATATCAGGGGACAGAAATAAAAGTGCATGCAAGGGGATCAAACAAAGTACGTGAAGTAAAGTTTTTAAACCAAATCACTGAAGTCATCAATATTTTCGTAATGCCTGCAGAGCAAGAGCGACACATTTATGATCACTTTACCCGGCGTCTGTGTATCCACCCGTCTGTCACTCCCTATATCTCTAGAACCGTAAAAGTTATGCATTTAATATTTTTCACAAATATTACCTGACACTATGGCTTTTTAAATAAGTATAGTTACTGAAAGCGTGATCCTTGAAATTGACCTTTTACCTACTTTTTAAAATATAGTTTATGGTGCCGATATACAGCATATCTTTAAGATATTTTATGAAAATTAGCATTATAAACCACTTGACTTTGACCTTTGACCTACTTTGCAAAATATACCTCCGGACAGTTAAAATTAACTTATTGACTGAATTTTAGGAGGTAAGATTTTGATTATTATCATATAAACATGTTTATGAATTCTTGCTTCTGTACTTTGAAATTGCAAAATATTAATACAGTTACCACACAAATTTATATTTATGTACTTTGAAAGTGCATCATAATCAATGTTTCACAATGAATCGTATAGAATTTCAATTGCAGTAAAGAAAGACTGACATTTGGCCCTTCAAGAAGATTGTTAGAAACGCATTTAGCTATATATACAAGTTGCTGTCCTTTAAAAAAGGACTGCAATACGTGGACCATATGCATGTGTTTCTAACCAAAATTCACTGAATGAGATGTCTTTGTGTATTGAATATTCATGTAGGTTTGTTCACATTTTCTACAATGATCTGCCTACTTATGACTGAAATTTTAGTTCCGATTAGCGACCTTTAGTTTTGTCAGTTTCTAAAATCGGGTTATTTTGATATATGTTACCCATAATGGCTGGGACCTGACACCTGTTCTGGATTTATGCGGAAGAAATCTATCAGGGGAAAAAAGAGGATTTGACGGTTTACGCGTAGTACAGCTCTGCAGCACGCAGTTTTTTATATGTCGAAGCCCCCCCCCCCCTCCGCCACATTTAAAACCGTTGCTATAGACTTCTATCTAATAAAATTAGTAAAAGGGTATAGACAGTGAAAGATATTGTCAGAATGTTAGTGTTCTAGCGCTGATTACGACAGCTAGCACTGAGAAAGGTTCTGTATTGTTAAGGTCTGCTGGGGGTAATAATGATTGTAAAGCGCTTTGAGTAGCATTTATGCTAGAAAAGCGCTATATAAATCCAATCATTATTATTAAGGTCTTCCGTTTCCAACGGAAGATATTATTGTTTTTGTTCGGTTTCTTTTTCCCTATTATTAAGGTCTTCCGACTTCCTTCGGAAGACCTTATTGTTTTCCGTCGGTTTCCTATTATTATTATTATTCTTTTTTCATATTTGTGGCGATATCTCAGCTGTGACTGTACGGATTTCAAAGATTTTTACAGGAAAGATGCATCACGTAAATATCTCCAGACGTGTTTTTCATTTTTTCAAAATTTGCTTCAATTCGCGATTTTGGGGGAAATTTGTATTTTATAAATGGATTTTTGTACACTATTTTTCTCAAAAACGGACAAAGATATGAAATTGAAACTCATGGACATGAAAGACCATCACATGTAGATGAACCGAACGTCCTTCATTTTTTGTCGTTCCTACTTCCGGTCGCAAACGGAAGTGAATTCAAAAAGTCTAATTTTTCAACTTTTTTGTTTTTCAATATTTTTCTTTCGGATTTACAGGGTTTATAGAGCGTCTTCAAAGATATCTATATATGTTTTCATTTTTTTCATGCGGGCGTTGATTGCAAAGATATGACCGAACCAAACTGTGTCTTACTGTCGGGGGTTCAAATCCAGCTCGGGGCGTTCCTCAAATTTTTTCTTTGTTTTTGTCTTTTTTCAGTTGCAAATTACTTTTCACTCTTTTATAACATGTGTGGAAGATTTTGCCGATTTTTAAAAGCTATATTTGGAGATATTTTATGAAATACCTGGAACAATCGCGATCTGTATTGAGAAACTGCTGTAAATGAACGTAAACGAAAAAATACATTATGAAATCTATTTCATGGGATGGCGCAGACAAGATTGCAAAAGAGAAGTCGGTCGGAAGACCTGCTTGTTGCACCAGCAACAATAAACGCATCTAGATATTATTATTATTCCAACCGATTTTGTGCACGCGATTTCTCAGAAATGGCTCGGTCGATTTACATGAAATTTTGATAGATCATCAATTGATCTTGATAGGTTCTTCAACGTTTTTGTGACATCATTTCCGGTCGCGAGATATAGACAATTTTCTGATTTTAAAATGCAATTTTGTCTTAACTTAGTAGCAAAAACTGCTTAAGATATGAAATTAAGACTAATCGGAGATGATAGTTCATCATTCATAGCGTTGCAGAATCGCCTTTTCGTGCGTCGTCTATGCTTCCGGTCGCTACCAGAAGCGAATTTAAAAAACACAATTTTTCTACTTTTGTTTTTTTTAAATTTTGTTTTTGAATTGAATAGAGACGCTTTTGCAGAAGCGAAATATGTAATTTGTTTGAAAATCGAAAAAGCCAATCTCGAGATATATGCATTTGAAAACGCAAAGTGGCGATCTCAATGGTTCGATGGTTAGCGCGTTGGATTATCACGCGGGCGACCCGGGTTCGATCCCCCATGTGACTAAAAAATTTTATCATTTTTTCTGCTCCATTTTTCGATATTTTTAAATGTTAAACCATTTGGAACAATATATTATAAACTTTTAAGCATATCTTGCGTAATTAGGGGTCACAAGGGGCCAGAATGTCACATCTTTGACGCTTTATATCTCGAAAAGGGGGAATATTTCGATAAGCAACATAGAACAAAAGATGGTCAGAATAATGTTCTAAACAATATGCATACTTTCAATTTTTGTAAAACGGCCCCATTAAGGACTTGTAGGAGTGGCCCCTAAATATTTTCATTGAGCATATCTCCACAACGAATAGAAATCTCTGAATAAGTGTTGAACAAAAAATCTTCAAAATCAAAGACCTTTCATTTAATACCAAGAAAAAAGGGCTGCCCCTCAAATAAAGGGCTCAGAGGGGCCAATATACTTTTATCTATAACTCTCTAATGATCAATATTATATTATACATTACTGTGGCAAAAGTATTCATCTTAACGATTTGCAACAATATATGATAATATTTTTATCATATGTTACGAAATATGGGGTCACAAGGGACAAAAATGCTATATTTTTTATGCTTTATGTCTCAAAAAGGGGTAGTATTTTCATAAGCCTTATCAAAGAAAAGATGTTCAGAATATCGTGATAAAAATGAGAAACTTTAACTAGGGAAAACTCAATGTCATTCTCTTTAAACAAATCACATCTCATCTTATCGAGAAATTCAACGGAAGACCTACTCGTTGCTCGCAACGAGATCTCATCTAGTTATTATTATCATTAGGATTGCTGAAAAAAAAAATTGCGAGCCTTGATGCATAAAACTAATGCCGGTGCAAGCTTGTTCTATCTTTTAAAAGCTAGAACTTTTATGGCGTTGATTATTCAAGTTGTTAAGTTACTTAGTTATCTATATACTGAAAGTTCTTCCTACTTTTCAAAATGCTTGTACCATAGAATGAAAGTTTAATTTGAATATAAAAGTATACGTATAAGAAGGAAATTTGGATCCTCCAATGAATATGTAAATGCGATATGCGAATTTAAAAGCGCGATTTGGCAATGAATGAAATATTCTAATTCGAATAGGGCGAATTATTCTACGGGCAAGTTAACTAAGCTGCAAACTCTCCAGCATTCTCGCGCATGCATAGCCTGTTGTTTGCCCATGGCATCCGGTTTAACCTCGTTTAAATATTTACTTCGTGGACTTCAGGGTCCACGCAATAATAATACAGTACTTGAAATTGTATCATTTCGATTACTATAAAAAGTGATATTTCAATATTAGGAAAATACAAGGGGATTGATATTCAAGAATAGATCAAAGTTAACTGTCAACTCGGGGCAAATGTGTACACCAGGTCACGTGATCCGCGCATCAACGTTTGTGTTAGCTTGATGACACGACCTCTAAATATAGAATGACTCGGGGTTTCTCCCACACTGTTTGAATATGGAGCGTTGCGGAGTCAACTGAGGATTGCACATTGTGGACTGAAAGAAAAACAGACTGTAGAAGTCTTTTTAAAGGATTGTATATTGGAAACACGTTTGAATAAATAATAGTAGAAATTTCTGATGATTTAAATTTAATTGATATGTTTTACGCTGTGATCGTTTCGGTGTACCATCAAAAGCACGAAACATTGATCAGCCACCTCAAAAATCAAGTTACACGAGGCATCTCGACTAGTTGTGACGTCACACGACGTAAGTAAGTTTGTCAGGGTTTACGGATACAGCTGAGCGTCTGGTTGAAACTAAGACTTAGTGCATTTATTTTTACAAAAGACATTGTTGAGTATTTCCTTGTTGCTTTTAAGATTTCTACAAACCGAAAACCATTTTTATGTTGTTTGTTTATTCACCATTATCGTTTGGAATCTTGTTAGCAAAGGAATTCTGGGAAGGTTTCAAACATTTGGTTTTTTTTTTTGGGGGGGGGGGGTGTAATTTTCTTGGATTCTCACTCCTCCACATAATCCCAATCTGATGTACTAGACTGGTCTGTTTTTGCTAGATGCTTCTAATTTGAATTGTTTAAATAGACCTTTGAGATTGTATACTGTTTGTCATCTCTATATTTTTAACTCCAAACATTAAATTGATTTCCATCTAAATCTCAATCTGTGCATGCAAAGTTTGAAATTTTAATTATAAATAGACAAGGAATGCATGTTAATGATGTACAATTCAGTGACGCATTTTAAATGATATCCTTACAACTTTAAATTTCTCATTTTAATTGTATGATTTGTTTCAATTCTGTCTTATTATGTTCCCCAAACGAAGTTGGGGAACATGTTGTTTTTACTCTGTTTCTTATTATTATTATAATTATTATTTTTCTTCCTGGGAAAATTTTGTACTTGAGTGTTCCTGTAAACTACACATCCGATTAAGGTAAAATGTTTTTAGGGTCAGTAGACATGTTATGTAGATTTGCCAAACAAAGGTCATTTTACGCGCACGTGCTTGCAAGAGCTTGCAACACGTAAAATAACTTTTTACATTTTTGATGAAATGCGTTGAAACTCATAATATAAGAATATTTTAGTGGCATAAACAATATGACATGGTCAAAATAGCAAGATCTCACGCGCATGCACGTGCGCTTCGCTCTGATTGGCTGAAACTAAAGTCTCTATATCTTTCTTGTTTTTCGACGAAATCCTATGAAATTTTGAACATAGCCATGCATTAAGATGTCTTACAACACGATATATAGCAATTATCATAAAAACACGTGCATGCAAGTGCGATGCAATCTGATTGGCTTAAACCTTAAATAGCTATAACTCCCTTGGTTTTCAACCAAACAGGATGGGATTTGGAACATAGATAGACATAATGAACTTCTACAAGAAGGTATGGTGACCATGCACATGCATACACGTGCGTGTACGTGCGCTGTAATCTGATTGGCTGAAACTTTAAACAGCTATAACTCCCTTGGTTTTCAACCAAACGGGGTGGGATTTAGAACATAGATAGATGTAATGGACTTCTACAAGAAGATATGGTCACCATGCTCATATATGCACGTGCGTGCAGTTGAAATGGGTTAATTCAAAAATATACTGGAATGAGCTTATTTTTTAATACCTCTGGATTAAATATTTAAATATTTTGTATATAAAAAATATATAGATTGTGAAGTCAAGATGATATGGTCATTATGCACATGAATTCAAATGCGCATACGTGCAATGCTAAAATTTGAATGAACTTGGCGTTGTTAAAGTCTCAAATGCATAAGTTTTTGTCTTATTTAATGAAGCTTACAGGTAATATGGCACTAAAAGGGAGTTGGGGAGCGTTTGGGGAACATCTGTAATGGTCCCCGTTACAATAAGCACTAGTTAAAAATGAATTTAAAATATGTTTAGGTAAGATAATGGTGAGTGGTTATTTTTTCTTCAGAATTTCATGTATTCTATAATTTATTGGATTCAGTGATTGCATTGTAATAAATATTATATGTTATATTCATGTACGTCGTATGTTTATTTCATTGTTACATGTGTTAAAATATGTGATTGTAAATATTTTCTGTGAGTTGTACAGGTATATTTTTCGACTTCAATAAACTGAACTGAACTGAACTGATATAAAATTGATTCTATTCCTTTTTAATGAAACTATTATAGTACTTTTGTATCTAAGTTACTTAAAATGCACATGTGTGTGTACGTATGTGTGTGCATTTGTGACAGGGGGTGGTTCTTTAAGTACTAGTGTGTGTCCATGTATGTAGGTAGGTGTAGGTGTAAAGAAAGTGTATCACACACGTTGTGTATTTCACATTTTTATTTTGTAAAATCAATGACTTGTCATACAAGGCGTGTCATTAATTTTAGGAGACTCTGCATGGACATTCCAATAAAGTTTATAGCGTCGAAAAGAAGCTGCAGTTTTTCTTTAGACGAAGCAAAAATTAACCTTCGAGACGGCAAGTATTCGACCATATGTTGATAAGAAGGACCAGTTATTTTATAACATTCATGACATTTTTCTTCATAATCTTTATCTTTTCATTATCATATATCGTTATATCTAGATTAATCATTGGAAATGTGCACGCATGAAAACAATGTACTGTTTTGTATCTAAAAGTATGCTCATATTTTTAAGGATACTGCCTTGATCCATGTAATGTATCTATTCCTTACATCTGGAAAGGGCATCGATATAGATTATCTGGTCTAGTATTGAACTACGGGACCAAAAGGACGCATTTACCTTTGACAGATTTTTGTTCAGATACATATGATGACGACAATATACACTATAGGAATATGTCTGTAAAATGTAAAGATTGGAAATATGGTAAGTAGATACAGATCTAAAAACACAGCGTTTAAAAATTATTAAATTTTATGTCAACTTAATAGAAAATCATCATTGCGTGAAGGTTTTTGTATTTCCTTATTGACTATTTCAACTCACTAAATGTTCATATGTTCTTCATATGTTAATTGTTTAATAACAAGAATGTAGAGATTTTTGTAAGTTTATCATATAAGACGTCATATTTAACTCATCTTTCTTGTGAAGTATACAATTTCCACATTTTGTAGCTTATTCTAGATTTCTCTGCAAAAATGAAGGTGATTGTGGGCAGAATGCTGCATGTATCGCACAAGGGGCAATAGGTATCTGTTACTGCAAGCCGTACCATATCAGAATCAATGGTTATTGCTACAGGGGTATGTAGTTTTCCTGAGTAAGGAACAATGTACATGCATATTATTTGTCTTGTTTTAAAACTTTCACTGGCTGGTTTTCTTAAGGACATTGGCAAGGTTCCTGGAATTAGTAAAGAAATTTCCAAGAACTTTTGAACAGGTTTAGTGGTACCAATTATGCTTAATTCTTGTTCGCGTAACCTACCAAGCCAGCCTTCCGTTTTTCGAATCAATGTTTTCACAATTCTCAATGCAATTCCTATAGTATGTAAAATGTTGACAAAAAGGACCTACATTATATTTAACCATACGATTTCCCTAAAATCCATTTATTTCATAGACATTTTAAGTAAAAACCATTACTGTATCCGTATTATCGATGTCATGTTTATTTTTTGGCTGAAATGCAAATACAGAAACAAGACATAGAAATTCAGGCACTGTTCTTTTATTTTGAGTTACTTCCCTTAACATCTTATTATTATTCATAATGATTACGAGTTTCTATCATGTAATTTACAACGTTATTGGAAACGAATTGTCATAAATTTATTAGCATGGATTTATTATAACTTTTATTTATAAAGAGTTTTTTAATGAAAAAAATATGTATTAAACTTTTTTCTCCGGAAATCTTGCCTTGCCAATGACCTAAAGAGAGACGTTTAAGTTTTGGACAATGTTACATTAATCAGCGGATAATGTAATTAGAAATGAATATTGTATTGAAGATATAAAATACCTCTAAGATAACATGGTCTAAATTATACTGTATGTATAGTTTAATTCTTATTGGAAAGAAGGCACAGAGAAAGAAAGACATTCTGTGCATTTTCAATGCTTGTAAAGGTGTTTATAGTAATAAAATATCAGGACATGACCTTGATCAAATGTTTTTCGGCCAGTGATTCCACCTAATATAAGTATTTATTGATATTACAAGAAAGTGAACGCAAATCGCCTCCCAGTATAGCTTAGAAGCTTTGAGTAAAATAGAATTCCAAATGTATTTAACAAATGAATTTTTAATTGTGAGCAAATTGAAAATAAAATTTTAAAAAATAAAGATTGCCGTTTATTATGCAATGCATGGAAAAATATTCTTTGTGCCTTATAACTATAGTGGAATTTTTTTCCAAGCGAAAATTTGTGTAAAATCCGTAGTAACGCAAAATGCAATTCTTATATTCATTCAGCTGATCTGTCAGTTGAAGCCAAGTTGGTATCTCATTTGATAATCCGACCGAGTAAATATTGGTCCTTTGCAAGTATTTAAAAAAATATTTGTTAATACATACCTACAGAAAATAATGTTAGAAAGAATTCTTTTTAAAATGTGAATGAGTTCAAGAGAGATTAGTTATCTCAGATTCCCTATAGACAACAAAATATGTATTTTATTGTTAATTATGGCACATCTGGCCGCGGTGATTCATTGCAGGGGTTACCGTAGGGCTGCCACTCAAAACAATAAACAAACAATACAAAATATGTGTCGGCTCAAAATTGGGCGGATCCAACACTAAGAATGTCACAAGTGCGTGGACGTCACGAAAACATGTACAATAAAATTATCCATAGTCAATTACCCTTAAACAGTGAAAGTATTATCCAAAGCTCAGTAATCAATGTAAATCAATATTGCATATTCAATTTCAATTCAATGTACAAATTCAACAGTTCAACTTCAATATAACAATCAACCAATGTAGTGAGCTTGATGTGTTGCACTCCTCCAATTGCGTTGAGGTGCGAGGGCATACGCCTTTTGCAAGGGTCATAACCATTGTATGCCGGCCTAAGCCAATCACAAAGGTTATGGCACTGCAACCGCCACAAATGGGGTGCCAAGAACCATGGTGGCGGCGGCAGTACCCCAACACCATTGGTCACCACGACCAGGGCCTGTTCAATACCTAAACTGGGTATGCATTACCCTTCCCAAACATAAATTGCTCGATTGTCCCTTACAAATTATTTAACAACAAGTCCTGCCCCAGTTGCGATAAATGTACCCCATCTTCGTGAAATAACCCTCTATGCTTACTTTCAAATTGTTGATGCTTTATGTAGGCCACACCCTGTGATGTAACCAGCCTAATTGCTTTCCTGTTAACTCTAGTCCTGGCCTTTTCCATCGCCTTGATATTGCTAGAACAACGTCATACATACCTTGGGAGCATACTTAACCAAACTATTTTTCAATTAGAGTTTATTTAAATACCTGTGATAATGTTTCTTTGAGTTGTAGCAATAAGTCCGTCAACTTTAGAAAACCAATATTGTTCGCCCCGCAATAAACTATAGCAAGATTGGGTTGGTCTTCTTATCTCTGCAGGAGCTTGAGTTTAGGTACTAGTTGACTCAATATCATACCCTCATAGCCCTGCCACCTTATGTGTGTTTTTGGTATATTTAGATTGTGACCCCTGTTCTTTCTCTTGCTGTTAAAAAGGCTCTCTTCACAATTGATGATCTCACAATCAAATTTTTAAAATTGCCTGAATTAAAAACTAGATGCATGTTAAGATTTGAAAATGATTAACGAATGTATGAACAATAAGCATATGCATTAGAACGCCATTTCCGCGAATGTTGAATAATCTCCCGTGTTGCCCCTTGCTGCGCTAGTGTTGTTGCTGCCCCTATGCGAAATGAGTGTGACTTATAATTTTTACTATCAATTCCCGACATATTTAGAAGTTTCTCCAATATTGAACTGAACTGGAAGCGAGTTATCCGTTTCCCTGAATAATGACAGAACAGAGGGGGGCCATACCTGTTGGATATTCTTGCAAGTACACCTGCATCGCTCTAACCGGACACATTACCCCATATGATGCGTGAACGCTTAATTTCACCCATTTACCCATCTGATCTCTTTTCGACTGTCTAATATTAATGATCACTTTACTGGCGAATAATGAAATATCTTGCAAAATTTATTTAACTGTATTGCCCTTAGATATTGCAATTTCACCTATTCTAAGGAAGGCATGAAATGCGAGCAAGAAATTGCCTTATATAACGCGGTTTCGTATGCACTGCTACAAACTACCTGAAGTTTGGGCATTAAGACACCATGCATATCTAATGTAATTGGCAAACGACTATTCCCCCCAGGATTTGATCGCTTCATGCCCTGCAAAACTTTTTCACTTCAAAGGACTTTGATGGGTCATCTAAGCCTTTACTTTTACAACTAAAGCTGATTGCTGTCATGATTTGGCTGTTGAGTGTTTGTAACCCCTTATCGAGAGTTGGGCATGCAATAAACATATGTATGTGCGTATCTGGTGGCGGCCAAGTGGGGAACAATCCTTGTGTTTTGCGAAAATGTTCAAAAGTTTGAATCCCTATTCTGTATGCTTGCCATGTATTCATTGACATAGATGTATTGAACGAACGCTCTACTTCACCTGAGAGAGTAATATCTTGAATTGCTCTGGTCTGGTCTGCGGCTCCGGGTCTGCTTCTGGTGCAAGGTGCCTGAAAATCTCCCACTTTTTGCTGGATATTGAATGAGCAATATAATTACTTTTACCTGGTATGTGATGAGCTTTGAAGTGTATATTATATCTTAACAATGCTAACATTAGTGGACTGACTTATGACATAATTCTCTCCGACTGTGATTATTGCTTATTTGATATGTGAACTAAAGCTATATTGTCTATGAAAAAAATATTTTTTTTTATTTTGCAATCTTTTTCCCCATACAAGCACTGATAATACGATGGGTAGCAATTCCAAAAGCGTAATATCTCTCAAAATTGCTGAATTAGCCCATTCTGCAGGCCACTGAAAAAAGACACACTCTACCTTAAAATAACACCCACAGCCTAACTCTACTGACCTTGCACTGTCTGTAAAAAGTTCAAGTGCCTCTGAAGAACTCCATTCATTATTCGGAAAATAAACCACCCCATTAAAGTCTTTTACAAAATAAAGCCTTGTTTTCAAATCCTCCCGCATTGGCCTAGTTATTCTTAAGTGTAGATATGGTTTGCCTAGTCCACCCATTGCATTGTAGAAACGCCTATCAAATGCTCTACTTCCAGGTATTGATCTCTAAAAAATTCAACTTGCCCACCAAAGTTTGTAGTTCTGGCAGTTTAAATTTTTTTATTTGCCTACCCAAAATTGAACTAGTTGAGTAAGTTCCTCAACTTTATCATGGGGTATTTTAATTTGCATTTTAATAGTGTCAATGAGTAGGCCAAGAACACTAAGCAAGTGGTAGTTTCTACTGTCTTATTCCTATTGGCGAACCCCAATATCTATGCAAACCTCCTGGAAAGTTTGCATAAGCCTTTTAAAATCTTCAGTGTTGGCCCTTCCAATAAAAAAGAAATCATCCAAATAGTGGTGAAGTGTTTCCATCCCAGTTTTATCCCTCACTACCCATTCTAAGAATGTTGAAAATGCTTCAAAAATTTTGCATGAAATGGCACACCCAAAAGGTAAACATTTGTCGATAAAGTAATTTCCATAAATATACATTCCCAGTTATTCGAAATCACCTCGATAGACCCTAAGAAGCCGAAATGCACTTTGAATATCACATTTTGCAATGACTTCCCCCTTTCCCATTTTACTTATTGTTTGTA